GTGGCTGACAAGATAGCCCAACTGGAGCAGAGCCTTGTTCTATTTGCAGGTATCACCCTGTATTCAACATACTGTGTCTTACATCTCATTTACTAGTATAGCACAATGTATCTAGTATATAAGGGTGCACATATATGTGCATATATCTAAGTGCTATTCAAAACTCCCTGCCCTAACAGGTTATGAGCCTTGCCAGCTTGTGAATAGCACCATTGACACAAATGACACCACAAACACCACCTCTACCTCAGACATCTACCCCCCCTCCTAGTACTAGTGCTCCACCTACAAACACAATGCCTCTAACAATGGTACAATCTATGTTAACATTTGAGTCTCTAAAAATTGATGACAATCAACTTAATACATTCTTTAAAGACATAGAGAAGCTTACAGGCACAAAGAACTATAAGATATGGCAACTATGTATTATGAATGCACTAGTAGCAATACTGCTCAGTGACCATCTTACAAACAATCCCCCTAGTACAGATGCAGGCAGTATACACACAGGGAAACTATTGTATCATTTCATAACAAAGACAATATCAGATACAGTGTATGCTAATGTTACAATACACAAAACAACAAAAGACCTTATACAGGCACTAGCTGATTAATATGATGTACAAACCATGTTGACTCACACAGTCAATATATTAGCACTGTTCACAGCTAGAGGACACGTTTCACAGTTTGACAAGACACTAGACTAAATAGAACAAGTCTATACACAACTGGTAGCTCACAGCAAAGTACCAGATAATAATACTTATATCTCAGCAATAAATCTCACTACTCTAAGAGAGTACAAGTAGGTTGTAATAATGATTAATAAGCAGAACATACATTACAATAGCCTACCCACAGTTACTACAGCTCAGTGTCAGGTGTTCACACCAGCAAAATTAATTTATGAATTATACAATGTATTTACTGAGTAGCAAACACAGAACCACCAGAATAAACATAGTATGCTAAATAATAATAATAAATTAACAAATAATCATCCTCTATCTCCAGGGTCTACACAAGGTCAAACAAGAGGACAAGGACACAGTGGAGGCAACATAAAGCCTTACAAGACAATGAAATGTTACAATTGTAACAAATATGAACATATGTCTAAAGAGTACTACAGTCTAGTAACAGACACTATGAAGAAAGCATGAAAAAAGCAAATGATAACAATGACAAATGCATCCACATCACAACAAATTATGGCTCAAACAATGAGTACTATACTTACAGACCCAGTAGTGTTTATTGACAAAGTAAACAAAATACTAACACTAGACACTATAAACAATGAACAAATGCAAGAAATACAAGGGGAATTCATGCTTGACAAATTCCTTAACAAATATAACCCAAACATATACATTAATACATGTTCTTACAGAACAACAAAACTTACACATTGTATTGACATACTCAATTCAGGTGCTAATATTCATACTACACCCTACCTCTTTCAATTAACAAATGTATAATATACAAACCCTATAAATGTTACAATTGCAAACAAAACAATAATCACACTCAGACAAAGTAGAGTGATAATAATTAGAATACAATAAGATGCAAACAACAAATACAGAACAAACAAAACAAATGTAAGCAGTATTATACTACATAACATATACTATTATCCCAATCTAAACTTCACATTAATTAGTAAAGCATTACTATGCAAGCAGGATACAAATTAGTAAAAATGAATAATACATGTACTATCTATTCACCTGCAAATAAAAAGATTGGAGAAATACAAGTATGTAATAAGTTATATATAATAGTATTGTATCATCATTACTAACAGAACATTAACACAATAACTATAATTGACTTACACAAACGAATGGGTCATATTAACTTTGAGTATTTATACAAACTCATACAAAATCACTCTGAAATAATACAACAAAAAGTAACAGATGATAAGAACATACAATGTAATGATTGTATGCATGCAAACATACAATGTAATAATATACCTAAAATACAAATGTCTGCAATTTCTAAAACATACAGAGAATGTTTACATATTAATATATAGGGTCTAGCACCTATACAAGCATACAGCAAATACAAATACATACTTACAATTGTTGATGACACTATACAATGGGCAGATATGATACTTATACATTATAAAAGTGATGCATTTACTGAATATGTCAAATACACTACAAAACTATTTATACAATACAGTGTAAAAGTAAAAACACTATAAAGTGATAACAATACTGTCTTCCTAAGTAATGACTTTATAGTGTACATAGAAAGTCAAGGAATTATACAACAATTAATGGTACATGATACTCTACAACAAAACAGAGTTGCAGAACATATGCACAAAACAATATTTAACAGAGTATGAACATGTCTATTAATGTCTAAATTACCCACAAAATTATAGGTATATACTGTACAATACTAAACATTTATCCACAATTGAACACTATGCACTGTAATAAATTTTGCAACACTATATTACAAACAGTTTAACAAACAATATGCTATTAATAACATACAAGAATTCAGAGCATATTGTATCATACAGAACAAAAATACACACAAACTAGAGCCTAGAGGTAAATATGCACAATGGTTAGACAATGATAACAAAAGTAAAGGCTATATAACATAGTACAATAATAAAATAATGGTCAAACAAAACCTACAATTCATAGATATACAATCATCTAGAATTGAAGGGGAGAATAATAATAATAACAATAATAATGGAACAAAAAGAACTAACAGAACAAATAACAGAACAAATAACAGTAATAATAATAATACAAACAGAACAAACAGAACAAATAATAATAACAGTAATAATAATAATAATACAAACAGAATGAACAGAACAAATAATAATGATAACAATAATGAGTTACAATGATCAACTCATGAACAACAAGTAACAAAACATACTAGAGGATTAAACTATAACAATGAAATAAATCTAGCAATATATCTAACAGAATTTAACAAACTACTTAACAAAGTATATAACAATCCATTAACATATTACAACACTATAACAAATAACAATAAAGCACAATGGATCAAAGCTATGAACAAAGAAATAATAGCAAAACAATTATGTAATACATAGGAATACACATACCCACCAACAGATACAAATATAATTGGAACAAGATTTGTCTACAAATTAAAACAACTAGCTAACAGTAACATAGACAAATACAAAGTACAACTAGTAGTACAGGGTTATACACAAAAGGATAGAATAGATTTCTATTCAGACAACCTATTTGCTCCAGTTACAAAATTAACTACAGTACAATTATTATTAAGCTGGGCAGCATCTAAAGACTATGAAATACATTAAATAGATGTAAAATCTGCATATCTTTACAGAGAATTAAACAAAGACAAACATATCTATGTGAGACCTCTACCAGGTAAATTACTAAACAATATCAAACCTGGTCAAGTGCTAAAATTAAATAAAGTACTATACAGACTAAAACAAGCAGGACAACAATAGTATAAGAAAATTACAGATATACTACATAAAATAGGATTGTAACAAGCAAACTATAATAACACTGTATTCTATAAGAAGAGGCATAATGAAACAATATTAATAACATTCATGCATGTCAACAATATTACTATTATTAGTGAAAACATTACTATAGTGAACACATTTAAAGAAGTATTAAAACAATATGTTACATTTATAGACAGAAACAAAATACACTAGCTTCTAGGAATTGAAATCCAAAGAAATAGACAACAGAGAACAATCTGCTTACAGTAAAGACACTATATCTAGAGTATAATACAATGCTTTAAGCTCAAGAACAAAAAACCACTACAAACTTTTATAATGCTTAGGACATACTTAACAAGTATGAATGATACAATTGACAACAAACGATTTATGTGAACAATACCATACATGAACATGGTAGGATCATTATACTATACAGTAGATTGTACTCAGTATACATTACAGGCCAATTAGCACACTATCTACAACAACCAAATATGAGCTACTACAAAGCAGTAAAACATTACTTCTAGTACCTAAAAGAAACTACAAACTACTGGCTTCATCTTGGAGGCACAAATACATTGACCATATGAGGGTACTGTGATACTGACAGACAAATGACAGAAGAACACTGATCAATTAACAGATATGTATTCTAGCTGGGAAAGCAAACAATATCTTGGTCAAGCAAACAACAGAACCTGGTGCTACTATTGACTTATGAAGTAGAGTTACAAGTGCTAGCATACACAACTCAAGAGGCCATTTGGCTCAAACAACTTGCTGAGGAAGTACTACAGACAGAATCAGTACCCATTATAGTCTATTACAACAATCAGGGAGTAATACAAACTGTCAAATCTGAGGAGATCACTTTCAACACTTAAACAAAACACCTTGATTTGTGAAAGGACTTTGTCCACTGTTACATTCAGAACAACTATGTCAACATACATTATGTTCAAACACAGAACCAACTTGCAGACATTCTTATGAAAGCACTTTACATCCCTCAAATCAAGCACCTAATAGAATTTATAGGTCTTCAATGTTAATAACAGAATATTAGGGCTTGAAGGGGAGTATTCAACACACTGTGTCTTACATCTCATTTACTAGTATAGCACAATGTATCTAGTATATAAGAGCATACATATATACACATATATCTAAGTACTATTCAAAACTCCCTATCCTAACACCCTTGCAAATTACTAAGGCCCTGCTCGGTTGCACTGGTGGTGCGACCGCAGGTTGGTGGTTGATGGTCGGCGATTTCCGGTGCAACCATCAACCAGTAGTGTAAACCACCAACCGTCCCTGTCACAACTTGTCACTAGTGTAGTAATTAAATAAACTAAAATTTTCTACACATATACATGATCTCCTGATGGGTCGTACAAAGTCCAGCACTGGCAAAGCCCTCCTAGAGGCTGTTGAGAAGTACAAGAAGAAGCAATTACATGCTGCTGCTATTATACCTCTTACTGGGCTTGCTATTATAAAATATGCTAATACTCATCTCATAAAGTCTCCTATGTATACTGGAAAGCAAACCGGTGAAGAATGGGTCCAGGAGATTCTACATGGTCATCCAGTCCGGTTCTTTGACTCTATGGGCATGTCCCAGCTTGTTTTTACTAAACTGAAGCAAGAGCTTCAAATGTATTCAAGCTTTGGGTCTACAAAAAACATGTCCATGGATGAACAACTAGCAATTTTTATCTATATTATTAGACATGGAGCTTCTACCAGGACTGCTAGGGAGAGGTTTCAAAGGAGTGGAGATACAATTTCTAAGTAATATTTTGTTTTATTTGATTGTTCTAAGTATTTACTAATATTTTGTATTAAATTAGAACTTTTCATCGAATTCTTAGAATGGTTACTTTCAAGAAATTCTATACTCGTTATATCAAGCTCCCCCCAGCTGATAGGACACCTCCAGAGATCCTTTCAAGTCCTAAGTTATATCCTTTTTTTAAGGATGTACTTGGTGCACTTGATGGAACTCATATAGCATCTTTTGTTCCTGAAAGTCACCTCCCCCGTTATCGAAATCGAAAAGGCACTATTACACAAAATTGTCTTGTTGTTTGCACTATGGACTTGCGAGTGGCATTTATACTATCTGGGTGGGAAGGGAG